TGTAGTTAATAGGGTTAGAAGTTTATTAAAACAGGCCAAACACACTGCTTTAGACAAAATTTTGGATGTATTTCCATTAGCGAATCTTTCACAATCCTACTGTAATACCTTGCCACAGAAAGGATCAAGTTCAACCTGATAATTAGGCGAAGTTCCCCTGGTGTTGAAGTATCTACAGTTCAGCTCCACTTGTAAACCAATATAACCAGCAGCTTATTGGTTTGTGACAGCATGCATGAACACATGCTACATCAGCTTGCCGAGATTCGTAGCACAACCCCAAGGACGCCCAAACCAGAGGCAGTCACACTGTGTTGTCTTTACCCTTACACTTCCACTTGGGGTCAAACCATCCTGTTTCAGCTCCAGCAGCAAGTGGAGGTTTTCTTATCAACAGTAACGCTGTCGGGGCCAGGTGTGGCAAAGCACCCAGCAGGAACCTAAGTTTGCTCCCCGAAAACAAGTATTTCTGCAGCTCAGATTGAAACAAGAGTATGGAAACATATACCCAGGCACTGGGAGCATCTCAGGCCCCCTCTGTATTCTGCATCTTTGCACCAAGGGTGAGCAATTTCTAAGCTCAGAGGCTGTAGTTATTTTTCTGAACCTCAGTGTTCCGAGCAAGGCTCGCGGTGGCAGAGCCCAGCCTCTGGTTGAAGATGCAGGACAGCTACGGTGTTTCACTACAAAATTAGACATTTAAACCTCACCCCAGACTTACATTAGAGACCTAAATCACTCCGCCAGGCAGGGAGCACACGTCTGCTGTCCAGGCTGGGAAGCCAAACACGCTGCCAGCCACGGCACTCTTGCATTTGTGACACTGCACACAAATACCAGCGCAGCACTACAGTGACTGTGGGGGTCCAGGAAAGACCTTGGCTTCTGCAGGCTCTCTTTAGCAGGCCAGGACATCACCTGGAGATGCCTCTCATGTGAGAAGTTTTCTTGCCGAGTTAAAAGACCACGTGCAGACTTTTCCTCACTGATAGCACAGTAGCAGCGTTGGGAATATTGCCGTAAACTTTAAGGAAGATTAGACAATGAGGCAGTAGAATGAGGTTTTGGGGCTTGTTATCGAGAAGTGAAGAGCCTGGTCTATGCTGGAGCTCCTGCTGCTGGTAGGAATGTCAAAAAATGGTCCTGTGTATTAGTTCTGAGTAGCAGGATTGGGCCTCAGGTTGACATCAGTGTTTTAGTCACAGCGGAGCAAATTAAAGGTAGAGTTTCAGTGTCTATTTTGGATTTCCTAGTGGGTGTATGCGAGAAACTCAACGTTAATTAAGCCCCTTTCTCTTCATTTCTGCTTTGATATACAACAGGTCTGCCTTGCCCTCCTTTTAGCACTATTACATTTCACCTCAGGGGAAAAACAAAAATACTAAGAATTTGTTTCCATCAATGCAAACTTGCCTTCCTACCGGGAGTTTAAATGACTAGCTGACTCCAAGGAGATGGAGGAACTATTTATCTCCATATTTTTAAATAAATCCCATTCTCCCCATCTCACCCCCTGCCATTGTAACTGCTCTAGAAATGTCGAAATGCTGAGGTGAGGTCATTTAACAGCAAGAAGACTTTTTTTTTGTTACTGCTCTTGCCAAAGGACAAGAATGGGCTTGTGTTCCTGAGCGGAGTCATGTATCCGATTCATCCCAGGTGTCGGACATCTGCTGCTAGCTCTGCAGCCGGCTTTGTTAGGACACAAGAAACAGCAGCGACGTCCCCAAGGAACAACTTGAAACAAACCCTCGGCACCAACGGACCTAAAACAGAAGCCACTCACAACCTTTGGGGCTTCTGGAAGACAAGCAAAACTCTGTCCCAGCACCGCATCCTCCACCTACCCTCCCCCAAACCAAAGCTGCTTTTCAAGCAGTTTTTATCCATTACAAACACTTTGTTTTTCCGTTCAGGACTAGAGCAGAGTCCTCAGCCTACGGTCAGGACACAGGTAACTGTACATGTTACTGTGCCGCGAGATCCTCATCCCTCACACAGATAATTCCTGGGGACCAAGCCACCAGTTGTGTTCTGCGGCTTGTTTTCCTGGATGCCATGCAAAGCTATCAAGGAAAGCAATTAAAAAAAAGATTATCAACAAAACCAAAGAGATTACTAGGAAAAGAATTGCCAGGCCAGGATTTACATATAAGATATTAGAAAGTGGAATAGGATTTGAGCTAGTAGGGAGGGAAAAAAAAAAAAAGAAAGGAGAGAAGTGTTTCAACACAACAGTGCACTTTAAATAACCAAATGAATTCTGAAAGTAAAACGGTACAGGGACTCATAACTCAGCCGTATGGTGACAGCCTCCCCACAGCCACCGCCTGCAACGCCTCCGACACGGCTCCTTGAGCAAAAATACCCCAGGCTGCCTTGGAAAAAAAATTATAACCTGCAAACACAATCCACTCCCTACCTACCGCACTTCTTGCGGCAAGACAGGAACAATATATCCTCACAGGTAGCACATGGAGACATAAAGCCCAACCACTTGTTCACATTATAGTCATCAGTGAACCTCCTGGCGAGGGAATGTTATGAGGCCATGGGGAGAGCAGCGATATAAAGACCTGACGGCCAAGTTACAGGAACAGTTATTGAGACTGGCTCAGGATAATCACACTAGATGAAGCTCTTCCCTTTCAGAGACACATGTGTCTCTCCCCAGTAGTTGAGCAGTTTACTTATGTCCATTATGAACCCAAATAATGAAACCCTACACGCCGTGTTGTGTTTCACCCTGCAGAGGTGAAACGCAGAGAGCGGGGCTGCTCGGGGGAGGCAGGCGCTTCCTGAAGACGAAAGCTGATGATTTCCTGAACACCCGCCGCAAAAGCCACAGGAAGCTCCCCGAAGAGACAAACCCGTGCCTCGTCCCCAAGAGCAAGACCTGCTTAGATCCTTCCAAATAAAAAGATACAGTCATCGTTACAGTAATCTCCCACCACAAATCATTGCGTTAATGGCTCAGGTCAGAACAAGGACATCTGTATGCTCTGTTCCTCTCACCCTTTCCAAATGCCACCGAGCAATAAAACACAAGTAGGAAATCAGCAGTGCCCTGTAGTCTTTGCTCAAGGGTCTCACTTTCCCCTCCAGAAGTACCTGCAATTTGTTTCAATAAGCAACAGGACTGAGGCCCACATCTGAACTTGAGCATCCAGGAGGAATTTGCATATCACCTCTCCTCCTGATGCAAAGGGTTGCTTTACTAAATCTCCTGCTTTTTTGAGATGACTTTGTTCTAAAAGCTTTATCCCAGATTGTATCCTTAGGCTGAGAAATAGCTAAGAGCCAAGGCTGAGTTCTGCATCACAGCATCGGTGTTTTCCCCAGGACCCTAAAGGCTGCTCCTTCTTGAGCAAGTCACCAAAACCACACACAACCTCTGGGAAGCCAGAGGTCCACAGGACGATGGTCATAGCAGCATCTTTCCCTGCTGCTCAAGCACCGTTCACAGCTCTAACGGCACACAAAGATAGACCACTTACTTCAGGAAGCAAGAACAACCCAGTATTTCCAAGTTTGCCAAGTGCCTCACATTTATCAAGTTCCATGCTATTTTCAATTCATTAAAAACAGACCTAGAATCACATTATATGAAGATAAAGAGTTGTCACTTTTAAAGTTGCGTGCTCTCAGGACAGTTGGAAGAAAGCTCGACTTGATGTCTGAATACTTTAGGTTCAGAATTCTGCTTACTTAACTCTTTCCATTCAAGATCAATACCTGCAAGTGAGTGGGAATTTTTCAGAGAAACCACACCAATCTGTTATAAACATGCAATCAAGCCCTTCTGCAATATTACGGGACACTGCTACACGCACACACACCCCCCATTCTTCCATTAGATATGCTACGGCCCCATTTTCCATAGGCTTCCATCTTCTGCGTTCAGCTTGTTTCAATTATTCAGGGCAACCCAGGCTGATAATTACACAGTCCCGTGTTGCTGAGTAAAACTGATGCTTAATTAGCCAGCAGGAAAGATCGATTAAGATACAGCAGGGCATCTTGCAAAGTTCTTCAGTGGGACTGCAGGGAATAGAGTCTGGCTGTGCCCTTCCAAAGGATAAAATTCTTCCACTTCTCAGGGACTCGACAGCAGTTTTATTTAAACTGGATGCTTAGATCAGTCAGCCGCCTTGAGTTTTATTGTCAGGTCTTAACTTCAAGTGACACAACTTATATCGTATAACTAGAGCAAAACAGCAAATTTTTTTGCTGTTTTATTAATAAAATTAGTATTAACCGCAAGGTCTGAATCATATTTCTAGCCAAAAATATAACGCAGCTGAGGCTGAGTTTTTTTTTTTCAAACAGAAAACGGGCTGCTGGAGGCTTATGTTCCTTGATTTTCCCCTGGCACAATAGATAAGCGAGTGAAGCAAACAAAGTTTGTTCTAAATGATGCAGTTCATGTTCTCATGCAGGACTTGAACAGTCCCGAGGACATGAGATTTTTGGAATCCAGTTCGGACCCAAGTCTTAACTCAAGAAGTCCTCTTCATTGCTTTTTACTGTATCAAAGTCCAGGCAGTGCACATTGGAGTTCAGGAGCCGCTCGTGAAATAGATACTTTCAGCAGCAAGCCAGCAGCATGAATCTTTGCTCACTGTATGGATTTACCCACACGCCTAAGTATTGAAGTGATGGATTTTTTCCACTAAATCCTCTCTAGCTCAAGGGAGAAGGAAGAACAGGACAGGCTCAGAGACCCGTACACAAAGAGCTGTACAGACACAGCCCAAAGCGTATTTTTTTTACCTTGAAACACAAATTCAAATGCAAATAATGACAACTTTGCAGGCAACCATATAACTGGTTAAATAGGAGAGCGTACAAACCAGCGTGTGGTGCACTCTCACATTATACCAAGCCTGAATGTCCATTAACTTTCAAAGCATGGTCCAGCTAGTCGAATACAGCATGCGGTACCCCAAGGCATGACACTAGTCTGAAGCACTTTCACTAGGAAGTAATGCAGACAACACAAACCTGGCTTTGACTTGCTGGAAGCCAAAGAGAATTGCATCCCTCTGCTCCCTTGCTTTAGCACTCAGGTTTTCATTCTGCAGTCCATCCGCCAGGTAACCTTCAGCATCTGGGAAAGAGAGAATTACAGGTTAAAACTAACCTGTTCTTGGCTAAGAAACCTGGATCTGGCTGTGCACTGGGAAGCCCTCGAAGCACCATACCAAGCGGTCTGATCTAGAGACACAAGTCAGTCTGAAGACTTCATTTGGAGAAGTTAAGACATTGAACTGATTGCAGATAGAAGATCTAAATATTGCATGCGATTACAGGGCTTCTCTCTAGTGGCAAAGGTGTAAGGCAAATAAGCAACTGCAAACAAACCACCAAGCAGAAAAAAGGAAGAGGAAGGTGAAACATGGATAAGTCTATTGGACTAAAGTGCAACTCCACCTGCCTCTTTGCTGCCCCAAACCCTAAAAACCTGCGGTTGCGAAAGGCTTTTGGCCTTAAGTAAGGACACAGAAGAAGTGACTAACCCATTCAGAGGAGGATCCAAAGCACTTTTAAAACACCAGTGCAAGACACTTCAAGGAAACTCTAACCTGTGGCTTTCACAAGGATGACCTTTGTAAAGGGCAAGCACTGAACAACGGGTTGGTCGTGCACTAGTATCACAACATGGGTTCTCCCGCAAGATTATCACTGAAATCCTACACCCTGCGCTTGCTCAACAGAGACAGCTAGACAAAAGTAAATATGGTATTCTCTCACCTGGAAACCACATCTATATGCAGAAATTTAACCTGAACTGGAAGATAAAAGGATTAAGTGTCTTCTATTTGCATAAATATTTATGTTCTTTACAGAAACCTCAAAAAAATCTCATAGAAAACAAAACCGTTCCAATCACACCTGTCTGTATAGGAGAGCATCATCCTTGTACTTCAGCGGCATTACTGCTAGTTCCCCCAGCAGAGAAAAGATTGGCTTCAAAGCTATGGTGTTGTACATCCACAGGCCTCTCCAACCTTTAACTCACGCCCCATACTGTGACACTAATGTCAGTTTAATATCCTGCTTGCAAGACTTTCAGCTCCTTATGCTTCAGCTGCTGGCACAACAGCCAGCGCTGTTTAGCACACCCCAGGAATCTGCACAGCTCCTTAAAAACAGCTCCTCCACCTGCAAGCACATCTCAAGATCAAAATGCCACCAGAGAAATTAATACCTTTTTCTGTTAAAATCATGAGCCCTCATTTCTTTTTGTTGCCTGCTCGTGACACTCAAGAAAGGCTTGGGGTGGGGGGGAAGGAGCTCTTTAAAGTGAAGAGCATAAGGGAGGAAATGGACGGGAACACGGCTGACACTTGGGCATCCCCCAGGAACAGGGCCCTCTTCCCACCTCCTCTTCAGAGTGACAGAGGGGCAGGACCAGGGAGACCCAACTCTGACCACAGCAGCCCGGGAAGGAGGCGTGAATCCAGATCATAACGCTTGTCTCCATAACAGTCCGGTTCTCCTTTCTGGATTTATTCAGCTGAAGGTGCCAGTTTCCATGGAAGCACTCAACAATAAGCACATTTCAGCCAAGCGCAGACTCCTCCAGGTCCTCACTAGCTCCCTTCCTCTGTCTCCCTGCCTTTCCTCCTACCAGGAGGGCTCCTGACCCACAAGAACCAGGTCCGAGCCAGCTGTGCCTCATACCTGCAGCCCCGCACCGCAGCCACCACTTCATAGCTGAGAAACATAGCTTAAAGCCTGAATACAGCATTGGGGCATCAAAGCATCCTAGCACAACCCCTCTGACGTGGGGATGCACAGTGACGCATCTCAGCAGATGGGCAGCAAGGCTTAATTCACAGCATCACTCTCAAACCCACACCTACACCCAGCAGCGGTTTTGGGAGCTCCAGGAGCGCAGAGGTGTCAGGCCAAAGTGCCTCTTGATATCAAGTTCACTGCTAGTAATTTAGCCCTAGATGGCCTGCCTGGGATAACACAGACTTTGCCAGAGCAGCTGAGTGAAGCTTTTTAAATCCCAGGCCAATCCTGTAATCCTTAGGCTGTTTCATTTTCAGTACACCTCTCCGCAGTTTTAACTGTACATCTAAGATACAGTACCAGCTTATGGCAAGCCTAACAATGCTGAGGCTTACACCACTTACAAACTACAGAGAAAGTACCCAAGTACATATATCTAAGCACAAAGGATATATCTTGCTCTGAGGAGCTTACTGCTTAAGAACAGACGAGACTAAGGGGACAATTTATTATATACAAACCAGCATAAAACCAGCACAGTAGAAATGGGTCAGCAAGAGAAACTACGTACAGGCTGTATTTCCACAGTGAAAGAGAACAAGCAAGAAAAACAAACTGCTCCCAGAACTTGTGCAAATATCAGCTGCATCCCTCTGTCATTTTTAAGCGCAGATTAGCTCCATGAGTATGCGATTAGCTCTAATACAGTATTTACGTACTGGGATGTCAGCACAGATCAGCTGCTGGATAAGTTATAGTAGAACTAGGGTCACTTCTGCAAACCAGGCAGAGCCCCTTTCAGAGCCAGCCACTATGTTTATAGCACCAGGAAATGAAAAAGAAAGCCTAACCATAAACTCTCAAAGTGGATCAGGAAGAGCAATATGTAAGCAGCTCTAGAGTAAATCACCCTAATGTTAGTTTTACTGCTTGTCGGTAACATTATATTCTTGATGTTTATAGATTGCTCTCTGCAATCCACTCTGAAAGTTTACAGGACTCTCCTTTTCATTTCCTGCAGCTAAAAAGGTAAGAGTGGAAAAAAAAATAGTTGAGATTTCATCAAGTGTTTCAGGGGAGTTTCTAGAAGCAATTGCAGTTATCCACTTTAATCCTGCAGGAGATGCACAGCATCATAAGAATTATGTCACAACCACTGAAGTCCAGGTAGTAAATAACCTTTTAATGCCAGCACTAAATTCTAGGAGTTAATCAGCCCTCAATGAGCAGAACTGAAAGGTATTAAGATGCCATGTGTATTCTCTCCATGCACATACACACATTCACTACTTTTTTTTTTGCTCTTTTCTACTCCTCTGCCATCAGAAGGCTGCCAACAGAAATCCTACGCTCCATGCACAGAGGAACTAGTCCCACAGAAACACAACGTTCTGGCCATGCAAGATAATGCTGAGCCAACAGGTCTGCTCCAACACTTCTTTGATGGTTCACACAATCCCTCCTGCAGTTTATCACCCCAGCTGGCTGAGAAAAAATAGTTTAAGAAGTGTTTAGGACACCTATCAACACAGAGAGCGCAGATACCTTGAGCTTCCGTGAGACTGCATTAATATTTCCACGATGCGCCCCAAGACAGCCAGGGATTTGGAAGGTTAGTTGTATCATCCCCTGTCCCACTTGTCAAAATAAAAGCTGTGGACTATCGCACACAGTGTTTCTTGACTTCTCTGCAAGCTCAAGAAAGGATGGTTAATTGTGAAACAACATTTTTCAGAGGAGCCTTCCTGCTTTTGTGGGGCTGAGTCAGAGAAAACCTTGAGACCTGAAGCAATCTTCATCCATCCTCCTGCAATGGACTGAATGGGACGCTCTCCCCTATGCCGGGGACAACGGGGGAACTGAGAACAGCTTCCACGTCTCGGCCCCAAATTCCCCGATATTTAAATTCCAGAGCTACTCATGATGCTACATCAATGCTGACTGTGGCTTATTAGCCCTCACAAAACAGAGCATTTTATTGTTTATTTTTCAAACAGCATTGAGGCTGTGTGCCTTGCAATTAGCAGCTACCAGCCTTGTTAGGCTGTGCAGGTGCAGTCAGTCAGTCTCCCAGTGCAGCACCTGCTCTGTCCCTCCTGTTGCCCAAACTCCAGCAAGAAAATGGCTTTCCAGACCTACCATCTGAAATGAAGAGGCTCAAGCAAGGCAGGCAAAGGGAAGATAATCAGACTGCCAGACTGCCTTTGCCTCTACAAACGAAAACAGAAGCCCTGGGTTTGTCAGAGATGTATCACATTTTTTAGAACCACCGTTTCAGCCTTCAGAAGAAATTTGTGCTAAACAAATATGAACTACCCTTAAGCAAAAGCAGTTTTAAAAGGGACCTGACTGAGCCAAAAGTGAAACCCTCTGCAATTAACTGTCAACATAGTGTTAATGAGAACTTGGATTGCTTATTTGCAAGGTGGAACTTAAAGTAATAATTGTTGCAACCACACCTACTCATAAACAGATAATAACAAGCATTCACAAGTGTTGCAGGATGGCAACGTAGAGAGAATAGCCATATTGTGTTGGCTTTCAACCACTGCAACCTCAGAGATGTCTTACGTTGGTAACAACCCAACTGTTACTAGCAAGCCACTGACTACCTGCTTTTGTGCATCATGTAAACAGTCCTGCACTACGGACCAAACTTTAATATAAGGAAGCAGACGTTATTGCCCGTACATCAGTACAGGTTTCCTCCACTATTTGCAATTTTTATTTTAAATACAGGAATTCTTATGGTAATTTTTTTGCAAAAAAGTTTGCAAACACTGTAATAGCTTAAGCTCCTTCATTTCCAGCCTGTGCAGCTAGAAACCTCCTCAGCCACTGGAAGGCCTCAAGACCGTCTAGATTGTTAAGACACAGCAAGTTTGATACAGAGGTATGTGACATGCAATTAATCTCCATTCATAGCCTGCTATACTTGTCAGCAAACAAAGGCTGTGCTTTAGAAGGAGATCTGAAGCCTTCAATTAAAAACAGTCAGCTAACAAGAAAATAATCTAAGTTAAAGGAAGGTGGCAGGTGCAGAAATGAGTTGTTTACAAAAGTGTCAGCACTGAACAATAAAGTGCTGCACATCAAAAATGTGAAAGGGTGAACTTCACTGAAGCCCCCATGATTAAAAAACAGAGAAGAAAATTTACACCTACATCTGGGGGAAGACACAAAGCATTTGGAAGAGAGCTTTGATGGGCTTGGAGGCTGCACACTCCCTCTCAGACTGACAGATCCCAGGACTGGAAGTTATCCCCCGTCTCGGAGGGGAAGGGGCAAGCGCTCCGTGCTGCCAGGAGCCATCGCGACAGGAAACGAAAGGTCACAAAGCCCTGAGGCAGCCGAGGCCAGCCCCGACTACAACCGCTCCGAGCGGCAAGATGCTGATGACTCCTTCCCCACCAGCCACCCACATCTGCGATCGCAGGATGTGTCGGTAACACGTGCGCGTCTTGTTCAGCGGGGAGCTGACACCGTTGCTCCAGCCTGCAATGCTGCCGCTGAAGTTTTATTTACGGGGAGGTTATGATGTGGTCACCTGTGCACGCACCTGTGCGCTCTCTCACCAAGCCTTTGCTTACCACGCCATGGGGTCAGCAATGGTTGCAAAGGTCCGTACAGAACTTGTTTGTGAAGCATGTTTTGATAGAAGAGTTTAGCATGGCTTCTGCTTGGCTGACCCACCACTTCAACAAGTAGAGGTGTAAAAGCACAAGTTTCTGAAGAAATCCAGGAAAAACAACTTCAGAAGCCTCCCACCTGCCATCTTATCACACACACAGAAGTAAGTGCTGTCAGCTCTCAGCACAGCTCATTCACTCAGATGCTGAGACCTCAGGAGGTCACGTTCAAATTATCAAGCAGAAGCGGGGCTTGAAGCCAGCACTGCTCTCTCAGCTGTACCCCCATTTTCAATGGGGTTGAGGGTGCATCCCCACCAAGCAAGCTTGCTCACTGCATCCCCAGTGCGACACACAACACTTGCACAACATTTAAAGCCAGGAGACACCACTATCACAGCCACGACAAAAGCCTGCTGAGAGGGCTCACTGTAGCACACAAGCTTCACTTACCCTTTGTACCTGCTCCCTTGTCTCACACTAGCAATGCTCACCAGCGGAGCACTCAATACCTTAACGGAAAGCACTCAGTGGGACGTCTTTTGACCATGCCAGAAGACACCCCTCAATCTTGCATACACTCTCTTCACCTTACACAGAGCCTGGGACCACCAGAGGGCTTCCCCACCCCTAAACACAGGCACGGACCAACCTGCCAGCTCCTGAGCAACAGGAGGACAGCCCCAAAAACACCAGGACAGGCAGCCACATCCCCTACGCTCTCATTGGGGTTAGAGACAGGGAAGGCATACACAACCTGAGGACCCCAAAACCATCAGCCTTAGAGAAGAAGTAGCTCCCACAGTCCTTCCACTCCCCTCTCTGGCTCAGCACAGTGAGGTGCAAAAAACCTTTCACCTTCTTCCCCTGCAACCACAGCAGATTTCCCCCATTAAACAGAAGGGGAGCAATGAGGAATTCATGGTTACCTTCCAGGAGTCTCTGAATCTCCTCTGGGATCATCATACCTGCCACCTCCTTTCCACAGGAGCCAAACCTGCTGCTACTGCTCCTGTCCCTCAGGGGCAGGGCCAAAGGAAGCAGGGAGGGCGGGGACACCCCAAAAAAGGTGGGAGGAACCACTGGGCTCCACTCAGATGCCTCCTCCTGGTACAGCCCCATCCAGCTCAACCTACCTCCTTGCAGGCAGCCAGGATGCCTAGCTCCCCTGGATGCTGAGCACCTCCGCGCTCCTAAAAGCCAAAGAAAGCTCCAGCCAGCAAAGCTGCAAAAGTGCCTGACCCCACACCAGCAACAGCAGAACTGAACCTGTGCTCCTGCATTAGCATTTTAATCAGGTGGCACTTAGGCGTGCATCTCCTCCATTATCTCAAAATTCAGTGCACCTGCTGCCAGCGCAGAGCCACGAGCTCTGCGAGGCTGCGTGGCCATTGCTTTAACCTCCTCTGCCTGTTCCTAGCGCAACAGGAGTTGGGGATTGGATTTGTTCCAGGTCAAAGGCAGGCTCCCTCCTCTAATGCGCAGGGGAAGAGAATGGTACTTGGCTGTTCTGCAATAAAACTTCCCCTCTTCCTGCATCCTGCATAGGAAGGGGGCTAGATTGCAATAGCCATTCATATTTCTATGTCTTGCCCAGAGAAATAACAGGGTTGCGTACTTTAACTTGCTTTATGAGAGGCAATAAATGCAAACTGCGCTCTACAAAACAAAAATGGCATTGCATTAGATTAACCCACAGCCCTGCATCTGCTCCTGTCCTGTATAAATGAATTAGCACAAGCTGACTATGAGGATACCACTATTATTTTTCATTCTTGCATTCCCAAATTTTAGGCTTAATATTGACAAATTCAAAGACAGTCTTCTTTATCTGAAGCTCATCAATGATTCCAAAGACCAGTTTAAGATTTCCCATAGGTTAAGTGTACAGGATCCAGCCCTTACTTTGCAATATCCTGGTATCAAACAAATATTTATTATTATAGCACACAGAAAAGGTTATTCTGAACATGCTTGCCACTTTTACTTTTCTGGTATTTTATGCCTGGCATGTGATCTTTAATTATATTTTCCCAACATAGCAAATGTTGGAGATGGCAAAAAAGGATGCAATCCAGCTGTGTTGGCCACAAATGCAAAACCACATAGCTTCACGAAAGTTGAAGTGCTTGCTGCTTTCAGCAGGGGCACAACACAGCTCCTGACAGTGGAGAGCCAGGGCTGTGTACTACGGTGTATCATAACGTGACGAGGCAGGGCCACTCTGAACTCGCCAAGGCGGCCCCCTAAAACTGCTCCTCTTGCTGCTTTGCTGTTCTCCTGCTCTGGGCAAGCCAGCCTGCCATGGTAGTTATCACAGGCTGGCAAAGCAAAATCTGTAAGGGAGAAGAAAAAAAGAAGTGTGCATTGGGCTCCCAGCCTGCAAAGACTGAGATAGACCAACGCTTCACTACAGTCCCACTGGCTTTGGTGGGACAATGCCATGTCGTGAGGCTGAGCATATTTCCAAATAATTGCAGAAGCAGATTCTTACAGCTCTCTGGATGCATCACCTGGATGGAATAAAGGTTTAGTTGTTTGGCGGCAGGCCAAAACGGGAACCCGGAGCAGATTCCAGATTTGCCCTGAGTTTCTTGCTTGGTTCAGTCAAGGCAATCTGTGTGTTTCAGGCTTATCTCACGTATGTGATGTAAGAGCTATACTGGCAAAGGCTCAGATATGGGAATGGTGGAAATATATGAGAGAGATGCTCCTCCATGTGCTATCAGCTGCTAATATGCTTTGTGACCCACTTTCTGAGACACGTGGGTGAAACACGGGAAAAGACTCTGTTATGCTTTTAGTTGATCGGTACAAATCAGATAAAGAACGGGTATAAGAGGAAGCACAGTGCTTTGTGTTTTTTGGGTGTGGGTGTGTGCCTGCAATTCTAGTGTGTTGCCTCCACTGTAGACAGTGGAGTGAAAGGGAAAACCCCCCAAAGCAGCTGCAAAGTTCTTTTGGGACTTTTTGGTTGAAATATGCACTTTTATGCATGGGGACAACACCTCAGTAACTCACATATAAATAACACTTGTCAAGAAGGGATGGCTTTAAAGGAGAAGCGATGATACCATGACTATGAACATGTTTAGCGTATGCAGCTGATTTAGATTTACCAGAGAAGTAACGTCGCACTGTTTTCTGTGTAGAGTCTCTCCATGTGGTAATGCTGAAGTGGCAGCTGCCATCTGGGGTTTAGTCGCAAAGAGAAATCAGTGTGTTTTCTCTCCTGCTTAGGGAGGCTCAATTGCTCGCCGGCTCTGGGAAAAGAAACACACCACCACTTCTGATCTGTCACTTGGCTGTGCTCTGCACGCACATGTAATTTCAGAACAAACTGGAGACAGACTTCACGTCTGACATTACCAATCCAGACCTTACAGGTTTCCTACTCCGAGTAAGTTTACTCAGTTTCTGTCCTTCCCCCTTTTACCTTGTGCTCCACTGCGTGGGCTCGCCCACGTTGACAACACCGCTGCAGGATATTCTTGATTTTAGGACAACGTGTACAAGAAATTGCTCTTCAGCAGATGCAGAGGTCCTAAAGTGCAGGAAATGTCGCTGCCGTTCAGAGGGCCTCACAGGGGAGACTGTCTTGCTAGAAAGCATATACATCGCAGTAGTCTTCCCCCTTACATCTCCGAGTCAGGTAGGGTTTCATGAGTCAGGATTTAGAAAATTGAGAGTCTCCTATGGGAGCAAAACATGAATCTCTGTTAGCTGCCTGCGGCTCCTGACACATTTGAGTGGTTCTGCTCGTATGCAAGAAATGGGAGCGCGTGTAGGTGGATGTGTACGGTAGATGGATCTGTATACGTGTTCTCACCTAGAGGTGCTTAGGGATAAATATTTAAACACTTCTGTGTAGAAATCCTAGTCAGTTCATTATAGACTACAAATAAAAAGCAGCTGCTTGCTGAGACTGACTAACTTTAAAAATGAGTTTATAAAGGAATGAACTAGGTCCCTTAGACGGAAGAAACTGCCTTCAGATATGCCAGAAAGATCAATAAAGCCTGATCAATGCAAATCTCAGAGGAAGAAATGTTCATGCAACTGCAAAGAAAAGGGTCATCTCACACGTTCTCTGCATGTCTGTAGCTCACATAATAGTCTGAAAGCATAGTGTTGTAAAGAGTGAACTAGAAGATACCTAGTCAGTGAGTCTTGCCCAAGAGTTAAACTGATTTATCATATTTAGGGTCTGGAAGAAGTTCTTCCTTGTGACAAACTAGCAGTGACTTGTTTTGCAGGTGTTTTGTGTGGGTTTTGCCTTCCTTTGCTGCCTTGGGTGTGATCACTGCTTGAGAGCATATGGGGATTTCACCCAACAAATTTCCTGCTGTTGCAGTGTTTACAGCATCAGTAAAGCTCGAGATCTTTTCTGCTCAACTTCTGAGATGTACTGCAGTTGTGATTTTTGGCCTTTTGCTATAGACCTTAAGGTTATCATAGAGCATTGAAAATAGCATCATGTCTTGAGGCTGGCACAATTGCACCCTGGCTGCTCTTGGACCACACATTCATCCCATGGTCCTGGCAGCCAGAGACAGGACCCAGCACCTAGAATGTTCCCCTCAGGCCCTACAGGCAGATTTTGTTAAGACCAGGTTGACCATGCAGCAGCTGTTGTTATTATTAAACTCATTTTACTGAGGAATACTGAGGCGTAGAGCCTCAGCTGCCACGGAGACATAGGTGCTATTACCAGAAGCCTTAGCACCAAGCCAAGCCTTCCGCTCAACCTTATGCAGCTGCAGATAGAGCCAGGCAGACTGATTCCCTGGCAAATGACCTTTTTTTTCTTGCCTTTTTCCTTGCCACTTTCATTTTTGAATGTGTGAATAGGTTACAAATGTAGTTTAGTGGTCAGCTGGGAAGGAGATGGGGGAGTCCGGCAGTGACTGGCAACTTCCACTGCATCATTGTTATGTAGCATCAAGCTTTATGGGCTCTAGATGTAAAGCTGCCTCCCTACATGATAAAAGCCCCACCTTAATCATTTTAGGTCCCAAGTTGAGCAGACAGGCTCTCTCCTAATGATATTCTGTTAAATGGACAAATTCCTTTGAAGGCTTGTCTTGCTTTGAAATCCAATTTCACAGGAAGCCAGATGCGATTGGGTGTAGCTATGGAAACAAAGCAGGGCAGCCTTAGAGGAGCTGAGCGATGCAAGGTAAAATGTGAGAGTCAGAGTCCTTTACTGCGCTGTCGGAAATATCAAAGGATCTGGAGAGGTTGGCAGGAGACGTGTCCCTGTTATGGGCTGTTCTGTGTGGCTGGGTACCAGCGCCTGTCAGTGGAGGTAAGCAGCCAGCTGTCCTGTCACACAGCCTGAAGTGGAGCT